TCTGTCTCAAAAAAAAAAAAAAAAAAAAAGACCAGCCTGGGCAATGTGGCGAAACCCCATCTTGACAAAAAAATACAAAAATTAGCCAGGCATGGTGGCGTGCGTGTGTGTCCCAGCTCCTTGGGAGGCTGAGATGGGAGGATCTCTTGAACCCAAGAGACAGATGTTGCAGTGAACCGAGATCACACCACCACGCTCCAGCCTAGGCAACAGAGCAAGACTCTGTCTAAAAAAATACAAATAAAATAAAAGTGATTCTTATAGTACCAGCCTTCATTTTTCAAAAGCTACAGAAAGGCTAAAAAGGAAGAAAAAAAGAGTAATGTTGGGCTTTTAGTTCCTATACTGAATGTTCTTAGGAGTGCTGGGGTTTTATTGTCATGATTTATCCTTTTTAAAAATGTTATTGGCTGGGCACGGTTGGCTCATGGCTGTAATCCCAGCGCTTTGGGAGGCCGAGGCGGGCAGATCACCTGAGGTCAGGAGTTTGAGACCAGCCTGGCTGACACTGCAAAACCCCGTCTCTACTAAAAATACAAAAATTAACTAGGCGTGGTGGCACGCGCCTGTAATCCCAGCTACTCGGGAGGCTGAGGCAGGAGAATCAATTAAATCCAGGAGGCGGAGGTTGCAGTGTGCCAAGATCGTGCCACTGCACTCCAGCCTGGCAACAGAGCAAGACTCTCTCAAAACAACAACAAAAATATATCTATGTACGCAAAAATTAGCCAGGCATAGTGGCACGTTCTTGTAGTCCCAGCTACTCAGGAGGCTAAGGCAGGAGAATCTCTTGAACTCAGGAGGCGGAAGTTGCAGTGAGCTGAGTTTGCGCCACTGCACTCCAGCCTGGGTGACAGAGCAGGACTCTGTCCCCCCTCAAAGAGAAATGTTATCAGGTGTGATTGGAATGTATATCAAGTATCAGCTTCAAAATATGCTATATTAATACTTCAAAAAATCACACAAATAATCAGTTTTGAAAAATTTAAGACAACAGAAAGAAAAAATATTCAAATCACATGTATCCCAGACATTTTTTTTATTACTACTACTATTATTTGTAGAGACTGGGTCTCACTCTGTTGCTTACTCTGGTCTTGAACTCCTGGCCTTAAGCAATCCTGCTGCCCCAGCCTCCCAAAGTGCTGTGATTATGGGCATGAGCTACCACTCCCAACCTCTGAGATTTTAGTGTGTAAATTTCCAGGCATTTTTTTCCAGGCATCATACATGTTAGCTGACTGATGATGGTCAATTTATTTTGTCCATAGTGTCAAGTTTCTCTTCAGGAGGAAAAGCACAGAACCAGCCAACAATTGCTTGACCGTTCTTTACCATACTGTTTTGCAGGAAACCAGTCTCAGTGTCCCACTCTCTAACCTTGGAATTGTGAGAACTCTGAGGAGAAAGCAGCGGATACAACCTCAAAAGAAGTCTGTCTACATTGAACTGGGTAAGGATCTCAGATTTCTTAAGTATTTAATAATAATTGCTGGATTGCTTGTTATCATTTTGCAAAAAATCTTGGTCATAATTTACATTTGTGGTAGGCAGCTTTGGGAAGTGAATTTTATGAGCCCTATAGTGAGTTATAAATGATGTAAAAGATGCAGTTCCCACCTTGAAGCATCTTACTTTAAAAAGGGAGCAAAAGAGGCTGGGCATGGTGGCTCACGCCTGTAATCCCACCACTTTGGGAGGCCGAGGCAGGCGGATCACCTGAGGTTGGGAATTCGAGACCAGACTGGCCAACATGGAGAAATCCTGTCTCTACCAAAAAATACAAAATTAGCCAGATGTGGTGGCACATGCCCGTAATCTCAGCTACTCGGGAGGGTGAGGCAGGAGAATCACTTGAACCCAGGAGGCAGAGGTTGAGGTAAGCTGAGATTGCACCATTGCCCTCCAGCCTGGGCAAGAAGAGCGAAACTCCATCTGAAAGAAGAAAAGGGAGTAAAAGAAAGAATATCTGGTTTTAAATATGTGTAAATATGTTTTGGAAAGATGGAGAGTAGCAATAAGAAAAAACATGATGGATTGCTACAGTATTTAGTTCCAAGATAAATTGTACTGGATGAGGAAGCCTTTTAAGAAGAGCTGAATTGTCGGGCACGGTGGCTCATGCCTGTAATCCCAGCACTTTGGGAGGCTGAGGCAGGTGTATCACCTGAGGTCAGGAGTTCAAGACCAGCCTGACCAACGTGGAGAAACCCCGTCTCTACTTAAAAAAAAATACAAAATACAAAATTAGCCGGGGTGGTGGCACATTCCTGTAATCCCAGCTACTCGGGAGGCTGAAGCAGGAGAATCACTTAAACTCAGGAGGCGGACGTTGCGGTGAGCCAAGATTGCGCCATTGCACTCTGGCCTGGGCGACAAGAGTGAAACTCAGTCTCAAAAAAAAAAAAAAAAAGAGCTGTATCTTGGCTGGGCAGGATGGCTCATGCCTGTAATCCTAACACTTTGGAAGGCCGAGACAGAAGGACTGGAGTCCAGGAGTTTAAGACCAGCCTGGCCAACATAGGGAAACCCTGTCTCTATTTTTAAAATAATAATACATTTTGGCCAGGTGCA